GTTCTTTCTCTTATACGAATCAGTAATAAATCCTTCACAATATTAATCAGAATCTAGCCTGCAATTTGGAAGTGTTCAAAATGTGTTTTAATTGAACAGTAAAAAATCCTGTATTTTTTCTGTTGCTTGCTTTCTTGTGATGGATTTCAGTTTAGTTCAGGTCTCCAAATGTTCCTGGGTTAAAGTTGCAGGGAGGATTAGTGAAAACTGAAAGAGCCTTCGTTTTCACTAGAGACTAAACTAATATCTTAGAGTTGTATTTCTTCTTTTTTTTTTCCTTTTGAGCATTTTTCCCCTAGGTAGGAAGGTCCTAGGTAGGCCAGTTGGAGCTGATCTAACTTGATACCTCCTGCAGATGTAAGGAAAAAAAGGCCTGATATGACAGTGATCATTTGAAGGTGCTGAAGAAGAAATATCTTTGAAGGTGAAGGCAGATACAGTTTTTAAGACATTAACTTAGAAACTAGCAGCTTCTTGGATTAGCAAGCCAAGGTATGATGGTTCGTATTGTATGGCAGGAGTGCTGGTAACTGTGACCAGAAGAGCAAACTTTATTATATGGTCATTTACCTTAAAGATTGGGACAAAGTCCTCTATGCCCTGGAGACAGGGGGAGTTGCAATTCTGTCTTTTTGGAATCAGGACTTCAACTTGAGTTTCTTAGGCAGCCATACAGACAGCTGAGATTACTTCTGTATACAATAACCCAGAGTCCTCATTGTCCTTTCTTTCCAAGCCCTTCTACCTTCTTCCTTTTCGCTTTTTGATTTTATTTTGATTATTTTTCTTAAGAGCTCTATTTAATGCAGAAAGCATTCTTCTAAATTTTTTTTCTTGTTTGGAAGGCAGAATTGTAAAAAAAAATTGTAAAAAAAAAATTAGTGATGTAATAGTGGAATAAAAGGAACAGGAAATGTGAGGAAAATGGAGAAGCTGTGTCTAAACGTGTTGTATCTGAAATCTGTGGCAAAACTCATGTAAGATTACAATCAGTTACTTGAAAGAATGCATGTCTGTTCACTGCAGGTTGACCTCACGTGCACCTTCACCTTCCGTAACTCCAAGCAGACGTACACAGGAATTCCCATTATAGTGGCAAACATGGACACTGTGGGGACATTTGAAATGGCTGTGGTTATGGCAAAAGTAAGTCTCAACTCTCATTTCTGCAACAGAAAGAACAGTTGAGAAGCTGCTGGGTAACAGTGAGCAGCCTTTGTTGATTTTTAGCTAAGTTTGTTGGAGAACAGGGGAACATGAGTTTAAAACTCCAAAAAAAAAAAAAAAAAAAAAAAAAGCAGGGGTCCTTTTAGAACAACACAGTTACCACAAACAGGGCTCCTGATATAAGGAAATTTCTGTGGAGATGCTTCCATACTGGGAAGCATCCATCTTGGGTGTAGCTCAGCTTCAGGTGGAGCTTCTAGAGCTTAGTTTTTGAGGTCCCTTTGTGCTCCATGCCAGAAAAAAAAAATAAAAAAAAATTAGCTGATAAGTTTTGAAAGTGTGGGTTACAGGATAGAGCTGCAGCACTGTCTAACTTAATGAACCTCTGGCACATTCAAAATACTGTCAGTAGCTTAATGAAACATATCATAAACCTGGTCCTGAAAGATTGGCCAAGTATGCCAAGTTGCTTTTGAAAGCTGTTTGTAGTTGCCTGGTCTGTTATTCACTGTTACTGTTTCTTCCAAGCAGGATGAGCCTATACTTAAAAGGGGGGTTTCTAATGCCTTATTTTGCAGCTGAGGGAAAAATTACTAACTCAGACATTAATATCAGTTCTCTTGGTTTTTTGCTAGCATGCAATGTTCACTGCAATTCACAAGCATTATTCTCTGGAAGAATGGAAACAGTTTGCTGCCAATCACCCAGAATGCCTTGAGGTACATTTTTCTACTGTAAATTATTATGGTTTATTGCTTTGTTCTGAACTCACATACAGTGGAGTCTCTAGGGAATACTGTTGTCAAGTGAGGTTTTGGAGAATGAAGATATTTGCTGTTCTTAAATTCATCAGGGGAAGTGGCTTGTCCTGATTTAAAAGAACGGCAATGTGAGTCCATTATGAAAGTGCTTATATTAAAATGCAAAAAAGCAAAGTTTGTATATGCCTGGAATGGAAACAGATAAGTATCCTGAACTAAGAAGGAGGAAATACTTAGGAGTAGGTATGAGTGCTAAGCTTCTGTTGCTCTTGGGAGCTGTGGTAGTGCACCAATGTAAACAATTTCAAGTAAACCAACCACAGGCTGGCCCTGCATGCCCTTGTGCCAGGCAAAGTGTTTGCTATTAGGTGTGCAAGTGGATCTGGAGTCTGTCTACAGGCTGCAGGGGCCTAGGTGCTGGTCCCAGGCAGGGATGAGCATTGGAAGTTGTCAGAGCTTGTATGTCCTCCACTTACCTTCTTGCACCAGAGCTCACTTTGTGCTATTCCTGGCTGTGCTATCCCACTTGTTCACAGGGTCCTAGTCTGAGCCATTATATTTAGTAGATTTAAACATTGACTTAATTTGTGACTTTGTCACATTCAGACTTGTTAGTTTCTTCTGGCAGGCCCCTGTACCAGTAGAGGCACTGTAAGTGTGCCTGGCCATCTCCCCTTCCTGCTCAAAGTTCAGTGCAGTTTTTGATCTTTCTCTGTATAGAAAAGAATACCACATTGCTGTATTGTATCTTTACTTGTGGCACATTTCAGAATTATATTATAAAGGCTATTGATTACAGAGTTGTCTGAAAGTGAGCCTAGCACTTTGGCCAGTCAGGACATGCCACCCTAAGGTAGAAAGTGGTCCCAGGAATGTCCTGTGTCTGGACACTTCCAAACTAAGCTTATTTGTGGTACATAATGACTGGAATAGGATCTCCTATTCCTGTAGTGATTAAATACTGAGTTGCACAGTGACCTTGGATTTCTGCAGAGGTTTTGTAGGCCAACAGCTGTGGAAACTATTTTTCTTTTGGAAAGAACTTATTGGAAGACAAAGAAAGAAGGAATCTGCTTGTTTTCAGTGGTAGCTGACCTTGCTTGAGAAAAGGGATTAGACTACAAAATCTCCAGAGGACCCTTCCCAGCAAAATTATTCTGTGATTCTGTAGATCACAGGAGCACGTGGTGAACTTGAAGACCCAGATTTTACTCTCTGAGAGTGCCCCAAATTTTGCCTAACTTCCTGGAAATATACCAAGTTAGGGCTTCATCTGTGTTCATATTACTATGAATATGGCTGAACCTTGATTGATCTCAGATGATTATATATGCCTGTGACAATCCACTTGTGAATGAATGCTAGACAGCTGATTTCCCTCTCTTTTATATAATTTAAACTAGACAGAAATAGCCCACTGATTTTCCCAGGAAGGTATTTATTTCATATTACATAGTGTGATTTTTCACTAGTTACCAGCACAAGTCCTGCCAAGACTATGCAGGAAAAGACATACAAATTGTGTGTGTTTATTTCAGTTTTTGCAACCTACTTCTCTGTTTTGTTCACTTTGTTTTTTTAGCATGTAGCAGCAAGCTCAGGTAGCGGACAAGATGATTTGAAAAAGTTAACAAGTATTCTAGAGGCCATTCCAGCTATCAGATACATCTGCCTGGATGTGGCAAATGGATATTCAGAGTATTTTGTGGAGTTTGTGAAGTCTGTCCGTGCTCTGTTCCCACATCACACCATTATGGTAAGTGTGTAGAAGGGGTGGAGGGGGTGTGTGTGTGTGAATTCTGTCCAGGAACAGGACCCAGAGTTTGACTGGTAGGCATCAGAAGCTAGAAAAGGAAGGGAAGCAAGGAAGGGTGTTTAATAATAGTTTGGTATTGTCCATCCATTGCTGATGATTTCTCTGGAAATGTTTAGTGTGTGATCTGATACAGCTGTCTGGATAGGTTGGCATGGAGGACTGGGTGGATCCAGTTCTTTTTCTACTCATGTCCTCCTTCCCACACTAGATGAGACCTCTAATTGTTAAGTGTATAGGTTTATTTTGGTGATTCCAAGCAGAGGTTTGCTGTACATTTCTGGCCAGCTGATCACTATGAAGACAGATCAATGCAGACTGATCCTTGTCCATGATAAGAATAAGAGGGATGTTGGGCAGTTGTGAACAGCATTATCAGGGAGCAGAATGGTCAGTGCTTGGGCTTTTCATGGTGCTTTCTGTGATGTTGCTATCCCATCTCAGAGTACTAATCCCATGCTTCCTTGAGCCTTTTTGCACCAAAAATAGGGTGTTTACATGGATGTGGAACTCCTAGCAGAAGAGCACTACTGCTGCTTTCCCAGGGCTCTTGAAGAAATGTGTCAGAATTGTTTCCATGAGAATAGCAGAAATCCTCAAACAAGCTGTCCTCAGTAATGAGGTTATCAGCCTTTCTTCAAGCCAGTGCAGCAAAAAAATCATGTGTTTAGGCATCATTTGCCTGCTTTCCCATGCCAAAGATAAAGCTTCATGCATGTAAAGTAAATGTGAAGTAAGAATGTTCCTAATCTCTCTTGGTTCAATAGAGAATAACATGTTCAAGCAGCTCAGAAGAGAATGCATTCCTTTCTCACATGTTGGAGGAAGGCTGTGTTTTTGCTTTGGAATGATGGAAAGCTGAAGGGAGCTGAAATGCTTGTTGGATTCTGGGTTATCATAGGCTGATGAATAGGCATTCTTCAACAGCTGCCAGGAGAGGTGGGAGCCATTTTGGTATAGTCATATATCCTATGGCCGTGGAGAGAGAGATTTTGGAACTATGAAATGATAAATGTGGGCCTTCTGAGCTTTCTGCTTCATGTTCACTGCAGTGAGGGAAGAAGCTGTTTCCTTGCTTTGGATATGAAGTATTGTCCCTAGTGACGTGATTACTGTAGTGTCTTTGTCTTTGAAGAGTTATGGGAGGGAGCTTAAAGCACATAGTTAAAGTCAAAGATTATCTCTGTCAGGAGTGGAAAGAAAATTGTGTGTCATGCCCTCCTCCACCTCCCCACAGATTGCTGACTTTGCTGACTGAGGAGGGAACTCAACCAAGATGAATTCCCCAGAAGGCAGAGAAGGTCAATGTCAAAGTCAGATATCAAGACCAGATTTTCGTCCAGGATTCTTAGGCCAGTCTCATCCACCTTCCACATCTGTTCAGCTGCCTTCCTAGTATCTCTGCTTTTGTGGCTAAGGTTATTGTTACTTCAGGTCTCATTGTCCTGACAGCACCACCTGCTTGAGCACATTTACAGCCCTGACCTGTTCAGTTGCCTTCTCTGATTGTAGCTCCTTTATCTGAACATGGCTTAATATGGCTTATGTTTTTCATCTCTGCACAGCAATAATTTCCACTCCTAAAAGCATGCTAACAAACTTGGGGTGTTTAAAAACCTTCAGTTTTCCAGAGCCTCCAGAGTCTGTTCAGTCTCTGAATGTCTCTGATGCAACTAGACACCCACCTCTACCCTGCTTCCAAATTACTTCACGTTCTGTGCCAAAATGGCCTTTTGAAGCTGTTCCTGGCTGAAATGCAGGAGCTGGTCTAGGCTCCTTTTAATGGTAATCTGGAAAACATGTCCTGCTGCTACCTGTTCTGACTGCTTTGGTGTGTCTGTGCTGTGCCTGCAGTATGTTCTCTGCTGTTGGGCCTTTCAAACAAAAGGGTTAGCAGTTAAATAGGAGGTATAAAAATAAAGAAGCTTTCTCATAGCTGAAAGTGATCTCCAGGACCTTGTTTGCTTTCCTCAGCATGACTATTCATTCCACAGTCAGCTGCAGTGCAATACATAACAGTAACCCAACTCTGGATCTTAGGGAATGTGTGTTCCCAGGAGCCACGTAATGGGTTCAGCTCTGAGGCTGAAAGGGGATGTACAAAGCAGCTGTGGTTAATGTAGTACTCTCTGTGGCCAGCACTCCCCTGCAGATCAAGGATGTCTCTTGTGTAACAACCTTTCAAATCCATGTTTCCATCTTTTTAAATACTTTCTTTTGTAATCTACCTTATTTTCTTCTGCCTGAAGAAGATGACACAAGGTTTTTTACTACTGCATTTTGTATTTACAAAGAAGATCAGTTTCTCCATGGAACACAAAGGGTAGGGAAGACAAACAGGGCACAAAGGTACAGCATGACTTGTCTTAAATCACTCATCAGGTTGGGAATGGGGAAAGAAGGAATATTTAAGTCTTCTGAGTGTCCCAGAATGCCTCCCAGAACCAGGAAGATCCTGAGGAGGATCACCCATTGGAATGTTTTGCTGTTTTGCAGCGTTATGTGCATCAATTGTGCTTGCTTGCTCAAGTCTAAAGAAAACCATTAGTCAGCATTCATGATGGAGGATCAGAGCCTTTACATTACAGGTTGCATCGTTCCTATTTATTAGTTTAATTTTAGACTTTAGGGTTATTCCATCACCCTGAAAGTCTGTTTACAAGCTAAGTTATCTTTGCCTGCAAGGTTTGCCAAGTTTTTATCCTGAATTTGTCTTTTCATGCTATTCCTCTGTTCATTATAGAAGAGCAACCCTGAGGGGAGCAGGGAGTGTGGCCGGAAGAAGACTGAGGCAGGAGCACACTTGGAGATACAGTAGCCCATAAGATGTGAGCCAGAGAAGGAGGCAAGCAGAATTGCAAAGCAGAAGCAGAGGGAAACAGCAGGAGCCAGAAATTGTTGCTCCTCCTTGGAGTCAGTAGCAGAACTTTTCTGGGCCTTGGAGGCAGAATGGAGGCAGGATTCAGTCAGAGAAAGCCATGTAAACTACTCCCAGTTCATCCCTGGAACACACACCAGAGTAAATTCAGTTGTGGCATGTCTACCAGGGCTGATGTCTGAGAACAGGGGCCAGGGAGGATCCCAGGACAGGAGAGAGTGATGCTGCTGAACCTGCCTCAGGTCAGGCACAGAAATGAGTGCAAGCACCCACTGGGTATGGCTCAGCCTTGCAAAGGGCATCTCCACCTCATGGGTAAGCACCCCTTACTTTTGTGGGTGGGAAGTGTCCTTTGGCCGTCTTCCTGATAATGTGGAGGCACAGACTGTGCTTTCCTCTAGGATACAAGAAGAAAGTTTTGAGAACTGTTGTCATAGACACTTCTCCCCAGCTCAATCCTTTGCCATTTGCCAGCAGCTTTCAATCAGTGCAGCAGTGTTCCTGTCTTAGGCAGTATGAGTCGATATTTATAGCAGGCTTTCATGAGGCACAGTATCAAATGCCTGACTGAAATTCAGAGGCACTGCCCTATGTGTTCACTAATTTTGTATCTCTGTCAGAGAAGCCATAGTCTTTATAATCCTGTTAGGTAAAATCTTGATCTCATTAAAGTCAGTAGGGAAACTCCCTTTGACTTTTCTGAGGCCAGGATTTTCCTCAGGACTTACCCACAGTTCAGTCATCCTGGACAGTGCTGGAATGACCCAGGGCGGTGTTCACTTGAAACCTCATACTGAGTGATGATACATCACAAAACTTGCACCAATTGCTTTGTTCCCTGACTACTTGTGTAAACACACTACACAGTGTATTGTCTGTAGTGACTTCACAGTGCATGTTCCAATTGTGTTCTATTCTTTTAAGTTAATCTTAAGAGGGTTTAATTTCTGTGGTCTCAGTCTTTCTATATTGATCTTTTCAGATTTTTTTTTTTAATTGAAGTATTCTGGCTTTACCATGCCAGTGGTGACTTCAAAAGCCCTTTGGCCTCAATTCAGCTGTCATACTGGTGTTGGTGGTAAGGCAAGCATTGGTTTCAGTAAAGCAGAGTCCAGCTGGATGTGAGTAAACTGATTTCCCTTCAGCTGTCATACTGGGGTCTCTTCACATACAGATAACAGTGCCTCTCTCATAGTGGGGTTTTTTTATGCTCTCTGAGGTCTGCAAAAAGTACCTAAAAGAAGCAAACCTCTCATTGGCAGGTTGAAGTCTGCTATGTAGAGTTCCACATCTTCCTTGAAAATTTGTTAAGGATCTGCAGATTCAGAAAGACAGAAATCAGTGATGTGTGTACATGCATTCCAGGAAAAAATGTATGCTGGGGACATAAGTGCTTTTCCCTGCTAGGATGAGCATTTTGAACCAACATATGCAGTTCCAACATTTTCTAGCAGTAACTTAACAGTAAACGTCTGGTTAACATTTCTTAAGAGACAGTTTGACAACCCTCTGTGCTCTGCTAATAAGATGACACTGCTGTTTAAGTTAAATACATATTAGATCCCAAATCTCATGCAACCACTGACTTGAATACCTGCTCCTTCCTATTTATGAAACTTTTGAATGTGTTCCAGTATTTCACCAAGTTGTACTGTGGTGTGTGTCATACAGCACAGGTGGTCATCTGCCTTCCAGAGGTAAACTGTTTCCTTCATGTCTTCAGTGGCACAGTCTCCATCACCCCACCTTGGAATGTACAGTTAGTATAACAAATTACCACTGAGCAGAAAGGAAGCAGCACGTAGCTGGAACACTGTACCTATTATATATTCTTTATTTCCTGATTGTTCTATTTTATTTTATTTTTAATCAATATCATGCTCTTTTGAGCAGAGTTAAGTGGTCCTGTATCATAGACCACAAATTGCTGCTTGATATTGTCATTGTTTTTCTAAGTGCTTCAGGTGGTGGCTTGTCAGCTGTTTCAAGCTAATAAAGGGAGGAAGCAAAATTCAGTAAAAATAAATAAATGGTGAAATAGGAGTCAGAAATCAGTAAGTAGAGAACAGGCCTTGCCCAGTATCCCTGGGTACCCTTCTGCTGACTTCGGCAGTAGTTACATTTGAGTAAAAGTGATACTAATAAGGACTTCAGAATTTGCCTCGTCCTCTGCCCGTATCAGTACTGCTACAAACACTTGCTAAGTCCTGCAGTATCATTATGTAAGAGGTTTTCTGAACATCTCTAGATCTAAATTCAGATCTCTAGAAATTAATAGCTTGTCCTTAGTACAAGTGCAAAACAGGTTATGTGGAAAACTGGAGGTTTATCTTGTGCAGTTTTCCTGGTTAGAAATGTTCTGTAGACATGAGGCAAGCCACAGAGCTGAGATACAAACCAAACTTGGTTTGTAATTGTCTAAGAGTGCCAAAGAGGTAGCAAATGTTAGAGCAGGACCCTTCTCATCACCTGTCAATGGTCTTGGGAGTGTGGGGAGGTTCCTGATGACAGAAGGTTTAACAGTGTTATTCCAGTTTACAAGAGGGCTGTGAGGGAAGTCCTGGGAAACTACACACAAAGGCATGGGGCATTGACCACCTCTGTAGGAAGCCTGTTCCAGGGTTTGTCCACCCTCTTGCTGAAGAACTGATTATTCATGTCTGGTCTGAACTTCCCTAAGGGACACAGCTTTGAGCCATTCATATGCATCCTGGATCCCAGGGAGAACTCAGCATCTCCCTCTCCACCTCCCCTCCTCAGGAAGCTGTAGTGAGCAATGAGGTCACCCCTGGGCCACCTTCTGTCCAAGCTAGATGAACCCGGTGCCATGGCCACTTCCCACAGTACCTGCCTTTCAGTTGCATCACCACCTTTTCTACCTTCTTCTGGCACCTTAGAAGATCTTCGCATCCTTCTTAAATTGTGGGCTGCAATGTATAGAATCGCATTCCTGTCCAGTGTTCCCTCAGACTATGGGAATGCAGTTAGTACAGCTGTAGTGAGTCAGTTCAGTGTGTGCTATGTCAGCATTCATTTGCTTTGTGCAGCCCTTTGCAGAGAGGAAAGCGTGGTCTGAAAATGCACTGGCTAACAGTTTGTTTTCAAATATAACTCAAAGCATAGGTTTTAGCTCATAAATCTCCTTTGAATAGGATTCAAATGTCATTTGAAATCTTTGCTCTTTGAAGACTGTCTTTTCCTTGTAAATCATCTGGACAGAGGACACTCCTGGCAAGGGTATTAATCTCTAGCCTCACTCTGCTGATCCATCAGATGCACAGTTGGACACATGCAAGGGCCTGTCTTGTCACACTGGGCTTGCATCAAAATGTCTCTTTAACTGAATAGAAATAGCCTGGCAGCTCTCTGGACTTCACCAGTTTTGCAAGCCAATTACCAAGTGTGTGCTGGAAAGTTGTTTTATGGTTTCTTTTATTAAAAGTATCATAATTTCATCACACTGGCATTCTCTGCATTCACAGCATCCATGAAGCAGAAAAATCTGTGTCTCATGGTATGTTACTACAGGCCACATACCCAGCTGAGGCTCTGACAGAAGAGGGCCCCCACCTCAATAAACCACATGTGAAAAACGTTACTCTAGGAATAGGTAGCACAGTATCAGGGGAAGTTCTACAATTTTCTGCTACAATTTTGAGTAGGTAAATGTTCCTGGAGGCGTGAGTAGATCACAAGGTGACTGTGAGCCACCAGTGTGACACAGGCAAATGCATTCTTCTGTGTCAGGCAAGATATTTCCATAGAAAAGGCAAGTGTTGTGCAAAGCCTTGGTGAGTACTCACCTCCACCACTGTGGACAGTTCTCATTCCTCAGGTTCAGAAAGGTCTGTCTGGTGTGACTTCAAGGAAGTCTAGTATAAGGCAAACAAATATTAAGCAATTGATTAGGGATGTGGAGAGCCAATAGAAGAAGTTTTCTAGAAGAAGCAAGACAAAGGCTGAGAGAACTGTCTTCACTTTCAGTAAAGATAGCAATGTAGGCAAAAGGAGGAAAAGAGCTATTGAAGTGCAAGAAAAAATATGGTAAAGAACACAAACCAGTTCAGAATTTCTTTCAAAGAAGATGTTACCCTAACCAGCATGCTTGCTGTATTTCTGCAAAGGTCACGCAGAGGAAACCAAACCCCTGTTTTTAACCAGTGGCATCACCACACCCAAATGTATATATATGGTGTGAATGCTCAGATTTAGATTGTCTGTATGTGCATACCAATTTTGGCACCAGTGCACAAAATTAGAGAAATAGTACCTTACTCTCAGTGGGCAAAATACTGAATCCTAAAGAAAAATGTATTTTCCAGCATTTTAAACAAGATCTGAACTTCTTCCTGCAAAGGGAGTTAGGCAAAAGGCATGGAGAGATAGGTAGGGCTGGAGAGGTGGAGGAGTTCACTGTTTATAAGAGAGAAGAATAGCCCCTGTGGTTAGGGATGATGTGGTTGAGAACCTCTGGGTGAGGGTTAGGGGTATGGATGATAAAGCAGATCTCCTGATGGAATGCTAAGGATTGTTAAATTCATTTGACTCGAGAATTTATCTGTACAACTGATTTATTCTTGGTGGCATGTCCAAGGAACAGTATGGTAAACTATATTCTTCCATACTCTGCATAGTTCAACTTCTAAAAGCTCTGGATCAAACTTTACATTATCATTTTTAGTCTTTACTGCAGTAGTCTTGAAATCTCCTGTATATATGATACTGTTCTTTCTTTCTAGGCAGGCAATGTTGTTACAGGAGAGATGGTAGAAGAACTTATTATTTCTGGAGCAGATATTATTAAAGTGGGTATTGGACCAGGTAAGTCAAGGGTGGCTTTTGGTACCATTGGTAGAGGACAGAGGAGTTGTCCAGATGGAACAAATATATAATGCTGTTTCCTTGCCTGTTAGAATGCCAAGAGCCACTCAGGTCAATAAAGTACCAGTGAACTTGCACACTGTGTTTAAGAAATGCACATACTGGGTGCCAGTGTCTCGTAATGAACAGTGTTGCACATTGCACCTTCAGTCAGTGAAGGTAGTTGTTATTGGAAGCACTGGGCTGCCTGAGTTCCTGACATTATCACTGGTAACGTGTTGTGTTTGGAACACTTTTCAAGCCTATTGAAAAGAGGATGAGTCATCCAAGCTAAGCTCAAAGGATACTGTGTCCAGGTGTCCAGCTCTACCAAGGAAAGATGGGTTTCTGAGTAGCTTTATGATTTGTGTTCTGTGAAGCTGATGTTATCCCTGTCAATGTCTTCAAAGATGAAATGGTGTAAATTGTGAAATAGGGATAACTTTGCCTCTACCTATTACTGTTGCCGGGAGCTAAAATTTACATTAATGTACTTACATGCTATCTATCACTCTAACATTTCCATGGATAAACAAGAGAACCCTGACCTTCTTACAGTGTTTTCCCTATCTTCCCTTCCCTAATGTTGTCTGGCATACACTGCCATAATCTCTTCCCTCCCTCGCCCCTTTCCTTGTGCCTTCCTTCACATGTTCCTTCTTTTGCTATTTTCTTCTTAGACTGCAGCTGGAGTCACCATATGTGGGCTAGATTTTAAAGTGGCTAACACAAATGCCACTGGCAGTATAGCTGTGATCAGCCAGTGCAGTGCAGGCAGATTGTTTACTCTGCAGTGCCAGATAGTTACAGTCCATGAATGGGTAACTGGAGCAGAGAAAATGATGTAATAAACATTGCAGTTGTGCCCAGGAAGACATCAAACAATAAATACTGCAAAATACATGAAGAATCAACAACAGCGATTTCATGGTGTAATTGTCATGGGCAAATTCAGATTTAAAAGAAGAATAATTATAGTTTGTAGCCTCTAACATGGAATTACAGGTAAATGCTGTATAGTCCTTCCTGAACAGATCTGTACAAATTGACCATGCAAACTCACAAGTAACAAATGTTTCTCCCTCAGGTCTTGAGGCTCTTTTCCAGATAATGATCCATCTTGTGAAAAATGGCACTGATTTATTATAAAGCATTACGTACACTATGCAGTACAAGCCCTGTGGAAATTACATTAAAACTAACTTTCTTACTATTTTGCAAGAATTCTTCTCAGTGTTTTCACTTTGTCAGTTCTTTGAAGGATCTTTGGTAGCTTTTGCTTTACTGGGAGCTTGAGTATACCTGGATATCAGCTGAGTGAAGGGATTCAGATTTCACTGCATTTTGGTTTAGAATCTGTTTTGAAATTCTCTTATCATGCAGACCTTTTAGGTCTCTATCCTAAATTATAGGACCTAGACTGGCAAAAAGTAGTCCTCATTTGACTCTTAATTTGAGGGAACAAAATAGAGATGGTATTCCAAAAGGTCTGTTGCCATGTTGCTATGTTGAACTGTAAGTAAATTGTTTTTATATATATATATAATATATTATATATAGATAGATGAAGATATACATGCCTTTATTTTTATGTATACATACATGCATGCACAGTGTATGGGTATAAATAATATCGTTCAATGAGTAGATATAGTTCCTATATTTCCCTTGTTGTACTGTACAGCTTTCTGATTACTTATCTCACTTTTTAAATGCTGTGTGCTGATATTTCTATATTCCCCAAAATTGCCATCAGCCAGATATTCCTGCCTTCAGTATGAAATAAAAGATGGGAAAATGGTTACAAAAAAAATCACAGATTTTACCAGAGAAGTACTTCTTTAAACATGCAGAAAAAAGATAGAAATATTTATTAGAAGAAGTAATCAGGTAATAAATGCTTACTGCTGAGTCTCTCAGGTTGTGATTCTGGTCCTTTTGTCCCTTCCCTTCAGGCACCTCAGTCAGATTTGCTTTCTTGTGATGCAGTAATTCCCTCACTGAGAAGCATTATTGATGAGAACTGAACTGGGACTAGCCCTGGAGAAGAAAGGGGGGGCATTAGTCTCCTCAGCCACAGCTCCCATGAAGTGGTATGAGAGCATTTCAGAACTCAAGTTCCTATGTGCTCCTTTTATCTGTGAGAAGCCAGCATTGGCAACAGAGACTTCTTGGAGGAAAAATAATGCTGATAGAAGCACATTTTTTCTGTGTCATTTCTGTCATCCTGATGTTTATTCCTCTTGTTCTCTTGTCTAGGTTCTGTGTGTACCACTCGGATTAAGACAGGGGTGGGCTATCCACAGCTAAGTGCTGTTATTGAGTGTGCAGACTCAGCACATGGCTTGAAAGGACATATCATCTCTGTAAGTAACTATCATCCACTCTCAGATTCCCACTGTACAAATCGTTGTGAAACGGGAGAATCAAGCAGTCTAGTACCCTGCATGTTAAAGCCTGTCCTTCTGTCATCCCCAGTTGACTCCTGTATTAGTTCCTAGGACAGTCAGTGGAGATCCAGATGTAAAGAAACCAGCTCCCTATCATAAAAAAATGTGGGCACCTCACTCTTGTTTATGCCTTTTGAAATCTGCTTCTTCCTTAGTGGAGTAAGCTGTTATGTAAACAGAATAGGAAGCTTGCTAGTGTTTTCACTATTGAAGCAAACAGTAATTCCTATGAAAGACTTCTGAAAAAGGGGTGCAATGTAAACATGACTTTCTTCAGAGTGTGACTGGGGGACAGGCAGGCAGTAGAAGGGAGTAAAATGTAAAATGATGCGAGCCCATGTGTCCCCTGGTCGGATTGATTCCAAGAGCATCCTCACAAAGCTCTCTGTGCAGGGGCAGGAGTGTTTGAGGTGGCTCTTTTGAGCACAGCTGGCATGTGAGCCACTTACATTCTCACTAAACTCTGGGGAACTAACAAGCCTGTGGAGGAAAAAAAGCATCTCTCTGTACTGCCTGCTAATGGCAGTTTCCACTCTTGTCAGGAAGACCAGATTCACCTCACAGAGAGAAAGTAAATTGGTAAGCATGGCTCCAGACTGAGCTGGAGTGCAGTCTGCAGCACCCAAAGGTGCTGTGTGTTTGGGCACACACAGGCAGTCAGTGTGTCCTGGCCATGTCAGGCTGGCACAGCCTCTGCAGGCTGCCTGTGAGGCAGCTGCTCATGGGGAGAGCACAGGGGCTCACCTGTGTGCTGTGCTCACAGCCAGCAGCCTCCCTCTGCCACTCTAGGAGATACCACACACTGGGTTTTAGTTCTACTGCCAAGTGAAATCACTGGAAGGCTCTGGTGTCTTCTACCTAGTTGGGACTAGTATCCATGGGAGGAAGGAGTGTTGTGTTGCATTGTTGAGGAGAGAAGTGAGAGGAAAACAAACTGATTGGGGATGGGTAAAGGGTTTGACTGGATCTCTTGGAGTATAATGGAGCAGGAGCATGTGTTACAGTCAGATCTCTCTTGCTCTTTATTGTTAATGAATATGCAGTCCCTCCTCTCTATAGCTCCTCTATCTGAATTTTGCAGAAAAAAAAGAGAGGCAGTCTGTGATTTTTGTGACTTTGGGCAGTATTGCAAATGTTCCTATCTATAACAGACAGTAGAACACGTGCAATAGAGCACGAACGCCTCACTCATTACTGTGAAGGCTGGATAAGTATAGGTGTCATCGTGGCAGTGGTGCTCAGAGATCCATCTCAGTTTTGCAATAATAACTTTCTGCTAGTAGCCCTCAGAAGAATGCTGTTATCCTGATTTTACAATAAAACAGGGAGTGTGTATTCAGACTGTTGAAAAATTAGAGGCTTACTTTCCTGCTTTGGGAATGGATCAGTTCTTAACTTGCTCAGGTTTCAGTGATCCCGCATCTTTCAGCCCCCTGTGGGGGAATATAGGAGGGCAATTTGATACTTGTCTGCTACCAACATCTGGGCCAAGAGAAATACCTTCAGCTGCAGCCTCTCACATCAGCTCAACTCTGTCACCTAATCTAAGAAGGGTAAAGCAAGGGTAAGGACATCATGCCTGATTTCTGGAGCATTCAGATGGGTATTGGTGTATTTATTAGGGAAAGAAAAGGTTGGACTGCATGGTTGTTGCCAGAGCTCTGGCAAGAATATCATGGAAGAGAGGTATCCTCATGATAGAAAAACACCATATGGCAGCAATTCTAAGTATAGGATTGGGACTGGTGGCAACAAGTATACATGGCATCCCTCAAAATGTCTCACTGCTGTCTTTCTGTGGATTGAAGAAGGGGCACACCCTACCTGAGCCAAAAAAAATCCCTACAGGCAGAGTATTATCACAGCTATCTATGTCAATTCCCCCGGAGAAAATGTGTCCAGCAGTTTTTGTTATGTTGATATGAAAGTAGCAGGAAGGATGTGAAAAGATTCAAAGCCTACCAGCTAGCTTCATGTAGATTGTAGCTAATGGTGTGATATGGGTTACTCCCTTGGGGTACTTTCTTGTATCCACTTTTGTCCAGTACCTTCATCAAATGAACTCCTCATTCTTGTTATGTTGGTACAATTTCCATATGAAGGAAAAGAAGTCTCACTCTCAGAATGAGGAAGTGATGGTGCTGAGCACAGTGTAGGCACTGCAGAGAGCACAGCATGACTGAGCCCTGATCTTCAGGAGCTCTGCTAGAATGGGAGCACAAACTGGGATTTTAAATGTTCCTATTACTGAAGTTATCTTGTATGATTTTTGGAACTGATTCGTTGACAAGGAAGGTGACAATTTTCAGGCAAACATTATAGTCCAAGTGAACACCTGGTGTCTGTCTAGTCATTTACACAGAGAAGTAGGAGGTAAAATTGCACCAGTTACTTTCCTCATGCTAAATTATCTGTAAGACTAAAAGCTCACCTCAGAAATGAATCTTTCATGACTCACTGAAAGCAGAGAGGAAACCCTCCATGAGATACAGGCATGGTTTCTGTCCCGTGCTGTTTGTCTGGGAGCCAGTAGTCTCAGTTTTCATTCTTGCTAATCCATTGGCCTTGAAAAAGTGCTGCAGTGAGTTACAGTGGAGTGGGCCTGCTGGAGATGTTTCTTCTAGGTCAGAGAACTCCTCTGCTGGACAGAGGCAGTCACATATTCTAGTAAGCCAGCAATGTGGGGAATGGAAAGCAGCCCTGCATGTGTCCTCTCTCATGTGGCTGTCATTTGACAGAGATCCCTGTTTCCCCTTCTCCTTGCCTGGGTGATAGGTCACCAGCATTCAGTGAAAAGAATGACTAAGGGCTTCTTCACCCAGCTACTGCCATACTGTCCCTTTTTCCACACAGAAACAAACCCGGTATATGTAGTTCAGAATAAAGCACCATATGTATTGTTTTTACTGTGGTACATGCCACATACTTTATATATCTCCTGCATAATAAATAGCTATCTGTTTGCTGATACCAGCAAATAGATAGCTACAGTGCTTGTAGAAAGTACTGATTATGCAGTTTATTATAAAGGTTGCTTGAAATATAAATCATAGTTATAAACTCATTATAAATTGCATATAATACTAAATGTTCAGCCAGTGTATACTGGTTTTCCATACTGTATTTTTTTTTTCTTACTTGGGCTAAATTTTCTTTCTTGGACCAAATTTTGTAAAATGGCTTATCTACCTGGAGAACAAGACTGGGGAGAAAAACATTACTTCAGTCACATTAAAGTAATTCTGTTGGGAAAGCTGCTTTCCCCTGTCCTTCTTCCTAGCACCCACCTGGCTCAGAATCTGTGCTGTCTACAGGTTCTGTGACCATAACACTTTCCAGTAGTCTTAGTTTAGTATTATGCCAGTTCTCCTGAATTCAGAGGCAGACTTTTACAGATAAGTTTCCCCAGGGTTCTGAGGTAGAAGCTGAGCCTGCAGCAAACTCTGTAACTGAAGCCCAGCCATCGACAAGTCATTTTCAGCCTAGACCCAGGGCCCTGTTGGGACAAGCTGAATTTCAAGGGTAAGCTTCCAAGGCAATGCAGCTGCAGAACAGTCTTACTTTGTAAACAGAGTGCCAGTTTTTTCACATGGAATGGAGTGCTTCACTGCTTATGGCTTTATTATATAGCATCTTCTGACATAACTGCTTAGTATGTTCCCTTTTTGTTTCCTTTTCTGTGAATCACTAAATTTACCTGCTTATCTGAAGTAACTGAAGACATCTACAGATAAAGAAGGACTGTGAATCATCATTGTCAATTCCTTTTATCTTAAATGGTAACCCATGAGCTTTTAAGTCTCTTAAGCTGCTCAGCATTTTGTAATTTGGTAACATTCAAAGAGAGATTTTTTGAAGCCGGTGATTAATGGTTGTACAGTATTCCCCCCCCAATCCTCATGGTACCTCTGAAAGCATAAAACCTTCATCACTGCCACTACTGGATTTATTATAAAAGTCATATACTTTAGCCACCCAAAAGCAACTGACTGCAACCCACCTACCAGAAAGCATTCTGAAAGCCAATATCTCTCAGATAGTAAAAGTCCTAAAACTGTTCTTTGAAGTTTATTAGACTCTACTGTGGCTCTTCCTCCCCTGACACATGCACGCGCACTCACACCCTCCTCCAGGCTATGACAGACTTGTTAAAAAGAAAGAATTGCACAAGCAGAGCCATTAAAAGGAGAGAGAGATTCAGCTGTCAGCCCAGCACTCATTCCTGGAGCTGACAGCAAGGGTGTCTAAGCTCAACAAAAGGCATATAATGTGTTAGAGGTTATCAGCAAATGGAATAAAAGCCTTTAAAGTTCTACCAGGCACTGTTTGCAGTGGGGTGCCCTTTGAAAAGCCACTCACTTTTGGATCCACCTGCTCAGTTTGTGTCTGAATCCTTTTCTGGGCACACAGTTTGTATCCCACAGCCCCGCTGGCAGTTGCCCATCAAAGGCAGCTGTAATAGGGCTGATGGAGGGGGTGGCTGGCTGCGCTCGGCCGCAGGTCATGCACAGCCACGCATTTCTGCCAACAGGGAGGTGAAACAGCATGAGGTATCCAGCCAGTCTGGGGGTAGCTTCAAAAGCAGGAAGGATGCTGGCAGTCTGCAATGGATCCAGATCATCAAAGGAATGGGGAGCTCTCCTGGTACAATGACTGTGTAGACTAAAGGATCTTTCATCTGGTGCTCAGATCTTTACAAATTCTAAAGAACCACAGCACATGATGAGCTCTGCTGTGTGCCATTCCTTTTTTACAGCTCTATCACTCATACACAATCTCCCTCCCCTCAGCTGAACCCCCTTCATCAGCTGCTGCATTGCACTGAAACTGAAATGTGTAGGTCTAAAATGCTAAAGGTCCAGAGTGCTATTGCTTCCTTACCAAGACCATAGCAAACATTAAGGAGTAGGATGAGTGGCTCATTTTCACTTACCAAAAATTGTATTAACCATGTTTGTTAGAGATTATCAGATAAAAATCCTACATAACTGATGGTATAGTCCCTCTTCCCTCCCACTGTGACCTTTTAATATATTGTAAACTGCTGAGAAATTGCTTTTAAATGTCTTCGGTGGTTTAAGGTAGAGGCTTGTGGTACCTCTGCATCACACAGCCTTACATTAAAATGGCAGGGAATGATTCAGATCATCAGAGGAGGTTTTGTTTTCTGGTTTCTGGGACTTGGAAACTTGCAGTCAGGAATTTGCATTGCTGCTGTTACCAGTGTATTATCAGTAGATTGTACAGTAGAGTAGGTGAGCCTCAAGGAGGTAAACAGTGGAAAGGATTATTTGGATTCTGTGAAAACATAGCCAAGATGATACATCCCAAGTGCACAGCCAGCTCTTTTGACATGCTGTTCCTGAGCAGGGGCCACAGTGCTGCAGGTCGCAGAGCTCCAGTGCTCACTGGGTCGCTGAGTGACCTCGCTGCCACTCACTGTCATCTTTTCTTTGTGCAGGACGGAGGATGCAACTGCCCAGGAGATGTCGCCAAAGCGTTTGGTAAGAACAGCGTGTTGTGACATCCCGACGTGTCTCCAGCGCCCCTGGCAGCAGGGATGCAGGAATCGCTGTGACTCTGAATGTGTAATCAGTTAGCAGGAAGTTAAGTTAGTCCCTGCAGCTGACTCCAGTGAAATTAATGCACCAGGCATGAATTTAGTCTTTGGAACAGACAGTCCAAATTCTGGATTTAGAAATTATCTGCCCTGTGTGTATGAAGTACACCTACTGGGAGAGTAATATGAAGAAAACTGATAAGGGTTTCTTCTGAGTAGGGTTCAGAGATGCCTGGGACATTGCCAGATCTGGCTGATTTGAGCCTTGAGTGGAAGAAGAGCTGGTGGAATGCATCTTGGACAGAAGAGCAAAACAAAAAGACAGGCCAGATCTCTGGAGATGTTCTTGGGATCAACTGTCCACTTGGAGAGATGAGATTTTATTTATACTGTATCCCCTAGAGCTAGGCAGATGTCTGAAACATCTAAGTTAATTATTAACAGATTTTGCTTTCATGTAAGTAAGTTCAGTGAATTGCACCAGCTCTTGGTGATAGAATAGAGGATTTAATCTGTGAGTATGGTCTATGGGGCATGAGAGTTATGTTGGTGTGGGGTGGTCAAACTCATGATTGCCACTTAGCCATAACCTTGTTACAGCAGCATATGGGATGCAGTCACTAAATGCATCCTGAGATGACAAGGCATTTAAAGGTACTCCCCCACCTCCCAAAATGCCAGACTCTTTGCACGTGTCAAGTAGGGTAATGCCTGGAATACAGTGGGACAGCACAGTCTCTCACTGGAATTTCAGGGTGGTATGAAAACAAGACATAGTGCATGATGATACAGAATGTCTGCTTTGCAGGAAGCTTTGCAAGTGTGGAAAGTAGAGGCAGGCCTAAACTCAGATTACAGACTTGCCAAGAAAAAATCTAGGCCTGGAACTCAACTCCTGGAAAGGTTGAAACCAAAATTTGTCTTTAAGTTTGCAAACCGCTCCAGTTTTGAGAAAGGTCAGATCACAAGGAAGACTTAGAGAATTCTAAGGACAGCTGTGGAGTGATTACTACCAACAAGGAATGTGCTTGCTCATATTATTTCATATAACCCTTGTGTTACCCAGTGGTGATGTGATGCAGATACTTCCAATTGGTTGATTCCAACATAGCTAAACAGCAGCATCCACCCTTTTAGACAAGATTGTGTTGAAAAAATGCCCAACCTCTCCTCAGCCCTCACTCTGACATGGTGCCTGCAGTGAGGTCTTTATTCTGCCTTTCTCTGGCTTCACAGCTCACCAAGTTCTTACTGGTGGTGTGGTCCTTGGGAGCGTGTGAACTGAAACTGTGACTTCACTGTATTCCCAGCTGTCTGCATAGAAACCTGGCCTGTGGAAAAGGTCTTTCTTCAACAAGAGCATTTCCAGAAGTTAGAACAACAGGAAGCAACTTAACAGAGTTGTAAATATTTTTCTTTGAAGTGTTTATTATGAGTCTGAAAGATCCCTGTAGTCTCTTTGGGCTAACTGAACCTGAACCTGCTTGAAACCTGTGAAGAGACACCTTCTGGCTTTTCTGTTCATCAAGAGGTGCTGGGATTCACAGTGGTACATGTCTGAAGGCTGCCACAGGATTATCCCTTGGACAGAGGAGCATCAGAAAGCTGACATTTTCCAGGCAGTAGTTGTACTTTTGATAGTAGCCCTGACAGATCATTGTGACTGTGTGTCACAGCTACAGAGCTAGAAATGATGGAGATGACCCTGAGGCAATAAACTTACTGTATCTGATTATATACACTAGAGTTAGACACTGTGAACATGACAAGCTGGACCCAGATGTGCCTTTGTCAAAGGTATGTGGCAAAATGAGCTTTGAGATAACTTTATTACTGTCAGTGTTTATTGAATGCTACTGAAGTGATTGGCTATCTGAGCCTCGTAGAGCGTAGCCACCATGCCCAACATTTACAAGTCAAAGCCTTGATACTGAATTGTCTGGCAGAGACCTCTGTTCTTGAGTGACATGAATATATTGGATAGCAAAGACCAGGTGATAAAACACCCAGACCCACAATTTCATCTAGGAATGAAGGCCTGGACAAAGCATGGACAAGAGACAAGAAGAGGACTTTGGTTGAAGTAATTGTGCCATCTCTTTCTGGTGGATCACTGTAAAATCTTCATGGGATGGGATGATTCCCTGTAAAGCAGTGACAAAGCATCTATTTGAATTATGCCAAATGTGAAGACAAGCACTGGCAAATGGCTAAAAGTGTGATTGGAGGAGCCAAGTTCATGGAAGCAGAAGGAGTAGACTGGATTAAGTGAGAGAATTGTGAAGAACCAAGAAATATATGTTGAGAAGCTTTAAGGTGCACCTGTGACTTGGTGTCAAGACTCAGAGGCAGATTGGGCATTTTCACAGAGGGGAAACAAAGTAGAAGCCTATTTTAAAATGCAAGGAACAGGGAAGCACTGAAGATGTGGAACAGAAATGCTGAGAGAAGCATACTTTGGGAGAGACTGCTGGAGTTCTGGAGCTGCTGGATGGGAACCTGGTATGCATTAACTGAAGATGTCACTGCCATCTGGGTATTAGAGATGATAATGAAAAAGATATAGGTTGATAGGCAAGAAGAGCTGTTTTGATGCAGGAATGAGAGAAAGCATGAAAGAAATTTAAGCTGGGCTCTCAGATGGTTCTTACAACTGAACCCTTGGAAAGGCTGATAACATGAACACATTTCTCAGAATGCTCCAGGGAGGCAGTACTGTCTCCTTTTTTAATGCTGAGAAGTCAAGGCACAGAAATACTAAGTTCAATTGCCTGAGGTCACATATATTTTTCTGACACAGCCAAGAAAGAATGTGCACTTTGAATCCTATGCCAGCATCTTTAACACATTACTGCTGTTCCTTACAGCAGTGGTTAGAAGAGATGCAGGAGCAGGGAAGGAAAAGGAAGGAAAAATCATATGGAAAAGTCAACTGGGGACATACGCTAGTTCCAAATTATACTAGATCACACTGGTTCTTTCTCCTGTTTTCAACAGCTGTGTGTGTACCTACTGCTGCAAAGGCTTTCTGGCTCAGCTGGAGCACAGGTGAATGTTAATTCCAGGGTAAGCTCTGGTTCAGGCAAACTTAGGCTGCATCTGCCTGGAGGGCTGCCCAGCTCACAAATCCAGGCTGACTCCAGCTGAATTTGTGCAGAGCCAATCTGGTTATCAGTGACTTGTATAATCAGGCATACAAAAGACATCTGAGGGACTCTATCCAGATCCAGCAGAACTGTGTGAGTGTTGCAAGCTCGGGCTGGCGTCAGCACTGCTGTTCTGTAATAGCTTGAAAGAGGAGGCACGGTGAAATGTGAATGAGCAAAATCAGCCCAGATACAGCATAGGCCTCAAGGGGAAAGTCAGTGCACGAAAGTGGCATTGTGTAAAACCAGGACAAATCTAGCCAGCTCTGACTGAGCTACTGGGATGCTTGTGTGCAGCATACCCCATCACATCCTGTGTTATCTAGGGGGTGTTGCCAGGTGCTTCCAGTTCCCTACAACCTAAAATAATGGCACGCTATCAATCTGTACTTGAAAACAAAAGAGTGCAAATGGATGTTGCAAACACCATCAGTGCTTCTGGTGGTTACACAATGCTTAAGTTAAAGACCATGCTAAAAACTACAACCTCCTGGTCGGATATTAACTGATGGAAGCATAATGGATCAGACTCAAACTTTCAGATATGTTTGCAACACTGAAGCACAGTGGAAGGTTCTGGAGAACATTGGAGAAGTATATTAAATGTGGGCTTGTGATTTCTGGAGCAGCAGGGCAGCAAGCATGTGTCGTTTCAATGTTTAGACGTGCTGCATCTGCTGTAACATAGCTCCTCTCTTCTGGAATAGCTTGATGAATTATGTTGTAGTTTGCAAAAGTTACTCAAGTTGGATGAGTTTCAATCCTGTAATTGAAGCATATTTGCTTCCCTCCCAAAATTATGCAGCCAAAAAGAAAATAGTAAATAGATACAGAAGTGCACAAGAACCAAAATTCTGTGACTTTGAAGTGTAGTTTTCTTGTGCCTTTTGCATTATTAATTTGAAGGCTGTAAGACCCACAACAAAAAATGGCACTAGAATTGGGGATCAGGAAATTCTGTTGATAGGGCAGAATCCAGAATGTCTTTTGCCAGTCTTTTGACTTGTTTAAACACCCTCTTTGCAGTCTTGACCTCAAATCTGTCTCTCCTTCCTCATGTTTTCTTCCACTCTTGAAGAAGACAAAAACTAGGTTTCCCAGGGTGTTTTTTTTTTGCAAAGATGGAGCAAGGCTGTGCTAGGTAGCAACAGGAATTTGCCACCAGTAATTAAAAGATGAGTATTCCCTTTGTTTTTGGCAGGTTAATAGTAGTAGCAGACATAAATAGAACCAAGACTTTAAAACTCAGCCATCTGAAACAAGAAAGCTCAGGAGAAATCTGCCAGGTAGCTGACATGATAGGACACCTGAATGGGTGTCTGGCTATAAATATTGCTTGTGATGTGCTTTGCACAATTTTCATTTTTAGTATCCCTTTACCACGGACACAATGTTCCTTTCAAGCAGCCACCAGGCAAAGGGAGTTGAGGTCAGCAGAGCCACTGGGTGCTCTGCCCCCCGGCACTGCTGCCAGCTCTGCTCTTTGGCAAAGGGGTGGATGGAGGAACTGGCACACTTCACTCTTGTCATGTGTTCCAAGATCAAAATATTCCCAACTTCAGGTTTGGTAGAAGCTGAGCAGATGTGATAGGGATTTCACTTACATTTCAGGTTTCAAGGTCTGGTGCTATTGTTTGGAGAGTGATAGAGATCAGAGCAAATCCTAATGCCAGACTTACCTAGTCTGGGATCTCCCTTGAGTTTGGATTTGTTCTTAGGAGGATGGGTGTAGTT